TAATGTCAGACAAAACTCAGAAAAAATATCAAAGCATTATAGAAATCATAAAATTATATTACTTATAAGTATCGAACCTAATTCATTTTGTAAGAATATACAACTTCACAAAAAATATATATCTTTTATAGTTTTAGCTTATTATTTAATAATTATATTTTAATATAGTTTTAGTTATATTTAGATTTAGTGTATATTTCTTATAGTACATAAAGTGTAAATGTTTAAATTTGAAATATAGAGAGTGTATTTGAAAGTGGGTCATATTACAAAAAAAATTAATGTATTAATTATATACATAAAAAATTTGACATTAAATTAAATAAATTATGATTTTTTTATACTTTTAAAAAAATATTTTACATTGATGAAGTTCTAATAGATACATAAAATAAATACTTTTTTTTAATTTCATTTCATATGATGAATTTAATTAATTTAAGTGCTTAAATATAATTATTTATTTTTATCATATTCTTATTTATTTTTATAAGAAGAGGCAAAAAAAAAAAAGGATCAAGAAAGGAGAAGTAAAATGACCCAAAAAAAAAAAAAGAAGAATAGAAAAAGGAATAAGGCATGAGGCCTAAAAAAATTCTCTCTCATCAAAATAATAAATGTTATTTAGAAAAACATAATAAATTGATTTTATTTTTTAAAAAAAAGGCCTATAACTATATTTTTCTCTATTTCGATCATATTTATCTGGCCATTAAGCACTTCTCCACAAAATTGTCTCCTTTAAAGAATAGGAAAATGTTGAGTATAAGGAATAGGCATGTGGAGTGCAAAGCAAGGCTATCATTGCATAGCACAAAAACAAAAAAATATTGGAGTAATGTGCTCAACAAGAAGGTCCCCACTTCCCACTCTTCAACAAAATTCATGCAATTCACAACCCTTTGAAAAATATGGTTGAATATAGAGATAAATAATTAAATTTTATTTAAACACTAATTATAAATGTGATTATGTTTTTGTACTGAATGTTATTTAGACTTTTGTGTGTATTATCAAATAACCATTAAGCAGACAGGTTAGTCACTTTAATTTAGTTATATTTATTATTCTCAATATTTTTTGAATCTTATGCATGTTTTAGTTGATGTTAATACATACAATTAAATACGAACATATATTTTTATGTAATTCATCTATTTATATAAAAGATACTAAAGCGCACACACAAAGCCTTCTCAAAAATATGAATTGGAAGTGTCTACATATTTCATAAGGTGTTTGTTTATGTGCTTAACTTTTTACCTGTGATTATCTGAATAAAATTAATTGAAAATTTTAAAAACTTGATTTATTCAACTTTCTAAAAAGTAATAGTGAAGCCTATTATCTAAGCCTTCGTACTCGATTATTTCCTTGCTTATTTACACTTAAGTAAAATTCAGGACTTCGAATTATAACATATGTAAATTTATTAATATATAGTAATTCAAACTACATAAAAATGATATGCTCGGATCTGTATTCAGTATCTGTCATTTTTCCTTGTTCTACTTTTTGTATCATCTCATCCATAAAGAACATTTTATGAGTGGTCTAAGTAATACACATTTGGTACATTTTTATCTTGATTTTTAAAAAGCATTCAGGAGTAGTATTCTCATCTTGATTTTTAAAAAGCATTCAGGAGTAGTATTCTCTGGTCCATTTAATATTGTTTGCATTGCATTCTGTATTATTTTGTTTCTTTTTCAAAATTAAATTTGATTCTCGGTCCAATTGAGACATCTTCTCAACGAATTGACCCTTGACTCAAACATTTGGTCGATTCACTTAGGGTCAATATAATTTCTCCTAAATGATCAACAATCACCTGCACCATTTCGAAAAGATTTATTCCCTTCCCTCGAGTCGGGAACAACTCATGTAATCAAATTCATTAACAGCATTGATAGTAAATCTATCTTCAAAAGTTTTAGACGATTTCGGATTCATGTGAAACTTTTTTACATATCTCACACGATTGACATTGATTACGTACGATTTAAAAAAATCCGTCCAATTAAGTCGGGGAAAATTGGGATGAGATGATTGGACGCAAAAGGAAAGTGCAAACAAAAATGGAGAAATACCTGTTGTAACATTTTGTAGTTGAAAAATGAAAGGGGGGTCACGTGTATTAGGCTCAGTTTTTTGAAAGTGTAGAGGAGGTGACGGTGATTGATTTTGATATTTCATTTTTTTTGGCTCCAATTTGCAACAATGAATGAAATCACCGGCCTTTTAACTGCTTATGAGAACCACAAATCTGGAAAAAAGAGAATATGTCACGATCAACATATGTGAATGAACTTTTGGCCCAACTTGATATCCTCTATCACCTAAAATATCTCATTCTACTTCCTGGGGTAGATATAATTATTTTTCGTAGAAAAATTACGTTATATATTCTATATTTAAAAGATATGTATTTAAAGTTAGATATTTTTATTAAAAGTTGTATTGCCCTCTAGCATAGTGGTAATGGATGATCCATTTGAATGAGCGGGTTCTGGATTCGGACTCCAAATAATACAATATTTTGACAGTCACACATCATTATTCTTAATAAAAAATTACATATATACACAACTTAATTTATTATATTTTTATAAATTTCTTACCATTTAAAAAAATCCCTAACTCGATCTTCTAATCTATGATACATTTCTCACAAAAAATAATGTCTCCTACATTCCTCAAAAGAATTTGTATTCATATCTATCAGTATCTTTAAACATCGTTGATAAAATTTCCTCCGACAACTACATGCGATACCTAATAGCAATATGTATTAGATAATTGTTTCTATTCAAATTTTGAGACCGACTAAACTCATTACAATACTTGATTTAAATTTTTATAGAAAGAAAAAGTTAATGTTACAACGTTATTTCTCGTTTCTTTTGGTTAATTTTGAAAAACTGACATCTAATTAAGAACTATTAAATTTACCTTCCACACAGGAATCAATACAATATATTAGAAAAACAGAAGATATTAGTATCAGTTTTGTGATAATATAAAATATTAGAAATGAGTATTTTTTTAAGAATATAATCGACAATATTGTTACCTCTCCAAGTTCAAAGTCTACACGTGTGGCTCACAAAATGAAATAATCCAATTTCCAAAAGACCAGAAATGGAATAGTAAATTGTGTTAAAATATTGATCCCAAATCTTTAGGATTTTGTATTTGTTATTGTTGCCATATGTTTACCTTTACGCATAAAAAGTACTTAAATAATTTAAGTGTTACACACTTTCACATGCTAATGTTGGGAACATATAAGTGATACGTTGAAAATTGAAATAGATAATATATATAAGACTTCTAATTATAAATTTCGAAGAAATAATTTTAATATCGTTGATTTAATTTGGCTTTTTTATTTTAAAATTGTAAAATTTAAATTTATTAATTTTATATAAATATTTTTTATTAAGTCAAATTTGTTTACGGGTCGTCATGAGGTTTAGTGTGGACGAATTAAAACGTAGGTAGTTCTTAAGTTATTATTATGAATATTCTTATTAAAACGTCTGACTAATATTTGTTCAAAATACTGCCAATTCAAACATTACTTTATTCAACAAATAAATACAGACAATAAAATAAATGTGTTCATTTTGTTAAAAATCTACTGTTGATCAGTTTTTTTCCCCAATATAGCTTATCACCATTACTATAATTTCTTTCTATTTGGGTGTTCATCAACTTATTTTACCAGACATACATATAAAGATATGATGTCCATCAATTTTCTGGATAACTTATTTCTTATATGATAAATATATTTTTTATTTATATAGCTTAATTTTAATTTAAACGAATAAATTATCATTAGATGTTAACGCAAGTCTTTCGAATAAAAAAGAATAAAGAATCCAAATTCATTACTTTTAACAATATTTAGACTTTTTTTTAAAAAAAAAATATTCAACAAAAATTGGTAAAAGTATTTTGAATGAAAATTGTAAGGGTTTGTACATTAATACAAGGGATTTGCTGCGTGTTGTGTTCAGCAACGACTGCGAATGTGACATTTAACTTCTCTATGACCAGAATTAGATTGCTGTTAACAAAAAGTGCACGTCCCTTTGAGAAAAAAATATCTATGAAAAGGTCATTTTATTGATCGCTGACGCCTTTAATCGAATGACATAATTTTAATCATATTTATTAATTGTTAAATTAGTTATTGTATATTTTAACTAATTTTATAAAAAATCTACTCTAATTTAAAAAAACACTATCAATATTAAATGAATAAAAAGAAAATTCCAAAAAATTTCTCTTAATTTCTCCGTCCCCACGCTCATCCAACAACCCCAGTCCTCAGTCGTTTAAATAAGAACTAAATTACAATTTTTGCACCAATTCCAAGTTGAAAAAAGTTGTTGAGTGCGGTTAGCGAAGTGTGCATATGCACACAACTTGTCACAAAGAATGTAACATTCTCTACCCCACCTTCAAAAACAATTTCCCTTTAATGCTGACTGAGTTTTTTTATTTTTTTAGAGTCAAACAATATATATTTTTGTTATATTAATATAATTTTGTTTATTATTTTTAATGTTTTTGATATTGTATTTAAATATTCAATTTTTTATTTTAAAAAATCTCAATTTAATATTTCTAATTTAATTTTAAAAATTAATCAAATTAATTCTAAAAAATATAAATTAACGACTAAAAAGTAAGGAAGAAATTACTATTAACAATTATAAAAGAAAAATTATGTAATAAAGTACTTCCTTCCTTTCAATTTATAATTTTAGAAATATGATTTTTTTTTATAAATGTTCCAAAGTTATACTTAAAATAGATATATTTTTATAGATTTTTGCCAAATAAATGAAAATTTAATAGAAGACAAAATAATAAAAGTGAGTCAAAATTGGGACAGAGGGGAGTTTTAGTTTTTTCATTTTTTTTTGTGTGTGTCTTCAGTCTCTTTCAAGGTTTTTAGTTGTTGATGACATATTTATACACAGTAGATTTTTGTATCTTCTTTTCTTGAGAACCTTTCTCTCCCAAAACCATCTTCATTGCCAGCCTTATCTCTCCCTTTCTCTCACGTTTATCTGTTGAAAAAGCTCAAATTTTTTGATTTCTTGAACTTGCAGAGTTAGAGATAGAGAAAAATAGAGCAAATGGAAGCTGTTTTACAAACAAAAGGGCTTCTTTCTCATCCTTCCAAGCCCATAATCAGGGCATTTTACCCAATACCTCAAGGGGGTCTTAGGCGTAGATTCAATTCTCTCAAACCCAAATCCCTTGAAGGGTTATCTCTATCCTCTGATGGGTTTCAAAAAGTTCAAAGCTTTTCAACAAAGCCACAATTGGTTGGTCAAAAAAACAGATTTTTCCCAATTCGCAGGGCTGAGGCTGCTGCTGCTGATGGAGAACCAGTGCTTGAAGAGAAAGAGTCACCTAAGTTCATGGGGATTGAGGTTGTGACCCTCAAGAAAATTATCCCACTTGGGGCTATGTTCTTTTGTATTCTCTTCAATTACACAATCCTCAGAGACACTAAAGATGTATTGGTTGTAACGGCAAAAGGGTCAAGTGCTGAGATTATCCCTTTCTTGAAAACATGGGTGAATTTGCCTATGGCTGTAGGATTCATGCTGTTGTATACAAAGTTGGCTAATGTGTTGTCAAAGGAGGCTCTTTTCTATACTGTTATCCTTCCCTTTATTGCTTTCTTTGGGGCATTTGGTTTTGTTTTGTATCCTCTTAGCAATTACTTTCACCCTACAGCTCTTGCTGATAACCTTCTAAACATTTTGGGTCCACGGTTTCTTGGGCCAATAGCTATATTAAGGATTTGGAGTTTCTGCTTGTTCTATGTCATGGCTGAACTTTGGGGAAGTGTGGTGATTTCAGTGCTATTTTGGGGATTTGCTAATCAGGTAAATATATGATCATCCTTTGCTAATCCTTTTTTAATAACTGATCACTATTCTGATGTAGGTGGAACTTGTTATATTCTATTTATATGCTATTTTTGTGACTTTTCAGCTTATTATTTATCCAATGGATTCCTGAAACTGCTTCCCTTTAGGGTGATATGAGCTCTCTTTAAACTGATATGTTGGGAACAGGCAAATGTAGAAGTAGATGTACAACAGTCTTCCTTCAGTAGTTTTTCTGGTAATGGATATTGGCTCCCGAAACGGTTTTAGAAAGGGTGCATGGTTATGCTTTTATGTGCTGGTTAATAATTTTTTTCATTTGGGAGTTCAGAGGTTGATCTAGCTTTAAGGTGGGAAACTCTCCTGTTTATCCTGCAATTTTGCTCATAAATTGCTAATATGTCGGTTGCACTCCTTTGTCATTGTTACGCGTCCTGTCTATATTTTTATCTCTTCATTGTAGAGAGACTGACAAAAGTTCACTAAGCTAGTATTTGGGCATAGATTTTGGATCAGATTTGAAAATTTATGTTCAATCATCTGTTTAGGCGTGAAATTTGATCAAAATTTGAAAATCTAATCTTCAAATATTTTCTAGTTCCCAAAAACTGGTGCTAAACTGGTAGCACCAGTTTTTTTTTTTGAGAAATTTCACTTCCACTGATTCCCCCAAATAAAATGCATCTCCAAACATAACTTCAAGTTCCAAATATTACAACTTCAAGAACTCAAATTTTCAAGTTTCAACTTCAAAATATTTGGCCTAATTGGAGCTAAGGTTTCAGTCTATCACTTGCACTTTCCTTTTCCATCTGTTCGAATGGCCAGTTATCAACTTGGTCAAATCATTTATGCGTCTTTAGTATCCGTGCTTGAGCATTATTTGAGAAAGCACTGTTATTAAGCTGCCTTTAAATATTTTCGATGCTTTTATTTTGCAGATTACTACAGTTGATGAGGCTAAAAGATTCTATCCTTTGTTTGGACTTGGAGCAAATGTTGCTCTTATTTTCTCTGGCCGTACAGTGAAGTACTTCTCGAATTTAAGAAAATCATTGGGTCCTGGAGTTGATGGTTGGGCAGTCTCCTTGAAAGCAATGATGAGCATTGTAGTGGGGATGGGTGTTGCTATCTGTTTCATTTACTGGTGGGTGAATCACAATGTTCCTCTACCGACCCGTAGCAAGAAGAAGAAGGTAAACCACTTTGACATTTAAGGATCACATTTGCTGTTGTTATTATCATTTTCTGACAAAAATGTATTTTTGCAGGAGAAGCCTAACCTGAGCACGATGGAGAGCTTGAAAATTTTAGCATCTTCAAAGTATATCAGGGATCTTGCAACATTAGTCGTAGCATATGGGATTAGTATCAACCTTGTTGAGGTTACATGGAAATCGAAGCTCAAAGCTCAGGTACATTTTTAATAGGTGGTATGCGTTTTATATGCTAAACTTAGTTTGCCTCTCAATTTAACTTGAAGAATCTTTTTCACACTCCGCCCTTTGCTAACTCTGCAGTTCCCAAGTCCGAATGAGTACTCTTCCTTCATGGGTGACTTCTCTACTGCTACTGGGATAGCTACTTTTACGATGATGCTGTTAAGTCAGTGGATCTTTGACAAATATGGTTGGGGAACAGCGGCTAAGATAACACCAACAGTCTTGCTTCTTACTGGAGTTGGATTCTTCTCCCTGATTTTGTTTGGTGACCCCCTTGCCCCGACCCTTGCTAAGTTTGGGCTCACTCCTCTTCTAGCAGCTGTCTATGTGGGTGCAATGCAAAACATTTTCAGCAAGAGTGCAAAGTACAGTCTGTTTGATCCTTGCAAAGAAATGGCCTACATTCCTTTGGATGAGGACACCAAGGTATGTACTTGTTTACTGCATCTTAAAATTTTACTGAATCAGTGCTCTACGGTGCTGTGAGAACCCAATTTGCCAAATTTTGTTATGCGTAAATACATCCATGCTTTCTAGGAATTGAATGTATGAAACATGTACAGTCATAGCCTTTCGTATTGCATGTCCACTTGTATTTATTTGTGATGGTATATGTGACGGACAAGTACCCATCTGGACTTCTATAACCGTAAAACGGAGATGTTACTTCACATTCAATTGTTTCCTGGAAGCTAAGCTCAGTCATTTTCTTTTAACAGGTTAAAGGGAAGGCAGCAATTGATGTTGTCTGCAATCCACTGGGGAAGTCCGGAGGTGCCCTGATACAGCAATTCATGATTTTGACTTTTGGTTCACTTGCCAACTCAACTCCCTACCTTGGAGGTGTGCTCCTAGTAATTGTCCTTGCATGGTTGGCAGCAGCCAGGTCTTTAGATGGCCAATTTACTGCTCTGCGTCGTGAGGAAGAGATCGAGAAGGAAATGGAGAGAGCAGCGGTGAAGATTCCTATTGTGTCACAAGATGAAAGTGGAAATGGTTCTCTTACAAGTGACTCATCGTCACTGAATCCCACGGGAGGTGACTCAGCCGGTGCTTCAACTGAATCCTCCTCCCCAAGTAATCTGTAATATCATTATTGGACATCATCATCTGCAAAGCAGGAGAAATATGTATGTTGGTAGCAGTTTCAACTATTGAATGAAGTTTCCAAGAATTTCTTGGTCGTAGGATTTTCTTTTTTTTTTACTAGATAGAAATAAACACAAATAGAAGACAAGAATGGTACTGACTAAGATGTTGTAATCTTATTGCTCTCTTTTGAGTTCTTTGATTAGATGATATGAAAATGCTATTACCTGAAACTTGTTCAAATGAACTACACAAAACTTTTTAGTAGTAACATCCATAGCAAGTAGTTTCAGCTCAATCTGACTATTAACGAATCTAACACGGAAAGCATTTTCTTATCAAACACACCTCGTCTTCACCCTCCTGCACGCCTTATCTTCACCCTCACCTGCCTTTTCACCACACTTCAGATACTGTTTGTCTAAATTATATATAAATACTTTCAAAATACATACTTTTACTAGGATTCTTCAAAAAGTACCTTTTTTTTTCATCCACGTTAACAAAGAAAAGCTTCAAAACTTTAACCCCAAATTGGAAATGAGACAATCCATTCAAATTTAGGTGGGCTAATCCTCTAGTTTATTTTTCAAATCAAACACATTTGATTCTCGTAAACTTGCACATTTTGTCCTTCAAATAGATTGATCTTTAATTTTAAAAAAATAGATTGATCTTTAATTTTTGTCATTCAAACAGACTGATCTTGAATTTTTTTTCTCTTTAGCCATCAAACCCATGCCCAAATAGGACATAACTTCTTTATAAACGGAAGTCATACCTGAATATAACTCAACTTGGTGATAGTATGGTTATGAAAATATAAACTTATGTCTTTGCATAAAAAACTTGTTTGTCACGAGGGATTAGCCCATTTGAATATTGAGTTATTTTTTGTTAAATATGAGAAACCTTACAAAAGATAATTCTCTTTGATTTCCATTAGCCACAGCAAAATGACTTTTTTTTAAAAAATTATATAGTTTTATATTGTAATTAAACCAATGATAAGAAATACAAGCATACGAATTAAAATTTGGTAGTACTGAACGGTCACAACTCACAACTAAAACTTATCATCTGCCTAAATTCAGTTTAACCCGTCTGTTGGTCACAACACTACGTAAATTGTACTCTTTCTCAGCACATGATAGCCAAATTTCCAGCAAGCAAAAGAGAAAGAAACAAACTTAGAAGGCCAAGGGTGTGGGCAGAGCAATTAATAGGATGGAAAAGAAAAGAAAAGAAGACAGAGTAAAATTAATGCTAATATTCCGTTGAGTATATAGTGACACATCATGGCTGTTTCTCTGCTGAATAGAGAACAAAATTCATAATACTCCACATGAGAAAGGAAAATGACTTACACTTATCATTTTAATAAGTCTTCCCCTTTTATCCTTTTTCCCATCCCTCCACCACACTCATATGTTCAAGCCACAAACCGTCAACAACTACATACTACAAAAACCAGGTCGAAATATTAACTTTCAAAAGTTTTCAGTATTGAATTCAACATACTTGTAAAATTATAAATTTAAGACATGATATTTGTTGACCGGACACTCTTTTTACCTTTATTATTATTATTATTGTCATGGGTCTATTACAACTTCCTCAAAGATTATGCTTACAAGCTCGAAACGAACTGGCATGACGTTGTATACTAGATACAATAAACTCAATTCACATCATTATGTTTAATAAAAAAGCTAAAAAAAAAATAAACACGGGATTTAGGGCATGTTTGGAAAAAATTTGGCAAATAATGTTTATTCATATAATTTGTCATTATTTGGCAAATATTTTTGGCAAATATCTCAAATTTCTAAATACTAGTTTTTTCTAGTATTTGGGCCAAATCTCTTTTTTTTGGGATATTTTGAAAATTAAAATTTTACCCCAATTTTTTTATCTTTTACAAAAACACCATCTCTAGTAGTTGTTTGCATTGTATTACATAATTTTTTACGTGAATATCAAAATAGTGATGAAATATTTAGTGAATATTAAATAATGATATGATTGTGGATGAAAACTATAAAAAATTGGCTCTAGGTAACAAAATCATGTGTTTTGTCTACTTCACAATGTATAGAATAATTCTTGTTGCACTCACTCTAAATTACCATATTGCTTTAGTGACATGGACACTATTTGTTATTGTTGTAATAAACATCCAATTGACTTGTAATACAAATTTTTAGTTAGTTTTTAAAACTTGTGTGTATAAATTATATTTTTCTAAAAAGGTGAAAAATATTTCTCAAATCCTATAGCCAAACACATGGTGAAATTTCACCCAAATTTTCACTCAAATAATATTTTTCAATATTATTTGAAAATCTATGGCCAAACGCTAGCTTAATCTACTACATAACTTACAAGCTCCATCAAAGGGTATTATTGTCAGCAACAGATAAAAACAATGTTGTCAACATTATGTGGTGCCAATTTTTTTTATCCACTTGAGGTAATAAATCTCACGTAACAACAAGAGAGGGAAAAAAACATCAATGGCCATAAATTTTCTTTCATCCATATGAATTACTCTAGCTAGTGTGTGTATATTCACACAAACTCCAAAAATGATGAAATTGTCACCAGAATCCGTTAATCTTACCGGCAAATCCACGCATTTCTCGGCCGAATGTTGGTTCGACGACACATGTATCCTCGACATGGACTACTTTGTCAAGACACTTTCCGGTATTAAAGCCAAAGGTGTCCGTCCTGAACTCATTGGCTCAATTATCACTCACTACGCTTCTAAATGGCTCCCTGACCTTTCTAATGACGAAGGTATTTATAGATTATTTTTTTTTATATATACGTATTTTAGTAGCTCAGTTAGTTGACTGTGTGAATTTTTAATTGATAGGTTCAGATGTTTTTACCAGCCAGAAAGATTTTGAGGACTCACCGGAAAGTGTAACAGCGATATGGATGAAGAAGAGGTTTTTCGTGGAAACATTAGTCGGAATTCTCCCGCCGGAGAAGGATTCGATTCCGTGCAATTTCCTTTTACGGTTGCTTCGGGTAGCGAATATGGTTCGGGTCGAGCCAAGTTACCGGGTTGATTTGGAGAAAAGGATATCATGGCAATTGGATCAGGCTACATTGAAGGAGTTATTGATTCCATCATTTGTTCATACGTGTGGGACATTATTGGATGTTGAACTTGTTCTTAGGTTGGTTAAGAGGTTTATGAATTTGGATGAAAGTGTAAGAAGTGGATCTGCTTTAATTAAAGTTGCTAAACTTATCGATAATTACTTAGCTGAAGCTGCTGTTGATGCTAATTTGACATGGTCCGAGTTTTTTGGACTTGTTGATGCACTTCCTGCTCATGCTCGTTCTACAGATGATGGCTTGTACAGAGCCATTGATACCTACCTCAAAGTAAGTCAAAAACTTGTTGAATTTTAATTATACTAACTCTTTAAAATGAGGTTAGTGAAGAAATGACTATAATTTGTTTGATACTGTTGTGTGTCAAATGTGATAAAAAAATATTTAACGCTAACCCATGAAAATATGGCAGACACATCCTGGGGTGTCAAAACAAGAAAGAAAAACTCTATGTAGATTGATTGACAGCAGAAAGCTATCGCTAGAGGCATCTCTGCACGCAGCGCAAAACGAACGTTTACCAGTACGGGCAGTAATCCAAGTGTTGTTATCCGAACAAACAAAGGTTAACAGGCATCAAATTGATTGGAGTGGTTCTTTTGTAAGCGGAGCGCGAAGTCCCAATCAACTAGGACTAATTGAGCCTCCAGCTCGGTGTATGTCAAAGCGCGAAATGAACGCTCAGCAAATGGAGATAAAGAGGCTAAAAGAAGATGTCCTGAGGCTACAGAGTCAGTGTATGACAATGCAATCACAAATTGAGAAGTTGTTAGAGAAGAAACGAGGAAGTGGTTTGTTTGGTTGGAAGAAGATAATTGTGCCTTCTTTAGTGAATAAGGTTGATAAAATTGGAGAAATTGATAGAGAAACTGATGTGGGATATGTTGGAAGACAAACACCAGGGGATATGAAGACTAGGCTTGTTAGAGGCAGAACACCTAACAAATGGAGGAAATCTTTGTCCTGATGAGAAAAAAATTGGTGTTCAATTTGGAATAGGTGCAGGTTATCAGTCGATGCAAAAGTACTAGAACTACTAATTAAGATTCATATAATAAGCTTTGGTTATTTTAATGTCTTTCTATCTTGTAGTTCCTGTCTCATGAAAAAAGAACAAAAAAAAAGGACTTTGTATCTTATATTTAATTTATTGAAGATTTGTTTATCTGAATTTATTCTTTTGTCAAAAGGGGAAAATATCTCCACTCTTTGAAAGGGCTATTTCTAACATTCATTCTACATTAGACTTATCAATCATTTGTCCCCTTTTTCCTTCTCTAGAAGAGAGATTGAGAAGAGAATAATGAATGAAATGGTTCGAAAATCGGTATAGAAGGTTGAACAAATTTTTAATGAAGCTAGTCTATTAATTAGATAAATCTCGCATCGTGTTCTTTCTCTGCTTTATTTGATAAGGGATAAGAAATACTATTCAATTAAAAACAAAGAAAAACTATGAATGCAATTTGAAATAGCTTGAGTTTGAAAGCTACCTACTATTTATCGACAGGAAAGAAAATAATTATTGATTGTTTTACTTATTTACTGTAGTATGACGGACTTAAAGATATTCTAGGAAGATTATCATTTTTCTATCCAAATACGATCATATCTTTATTAATTTGTTGAACCCAGAGGGTCATCGTAAGCACCAAGGTCAATCACATTAGTAAATATAATTTGAGGTAATCAAATAAGATTTTACTTTGTCTAAAAATAATTAGACTATAGTTGGCTAAGATAGAACAAATTCTTAACGGCGTCGTATGGGGATATTCAAAGTATCTCTTATCGGCTAAACCCCTGGTGTTTGATAGCCGTTTAAACATTCTCCTAAAACCCCGCCGGAAAAATAAAATCCGACATGCTCCTTCTCTACTACACCTCCCAATATGGCGGCGGTCTCTGCTAAAACCCCAACTATATCTCTCCCTTTAGACCCCCAGAACCCTCAATTCTCTAAACTCCATTCTTCTAAATCTCTAAATTTCTCTCATATCTTCCAAAAATCCCATCTTTTTTCCCTTAAAAAACCCCACCAAAATTCTATCCTTAGTTCCTCTTCCACCTCTACTCCCACCACTGACCCGAATTCCCATCTTATCCAATTATGCTTCCACAACCAGCTGGAACAAGCAATAGTGTTCTTGAAGTCAATAAAGGACCTTCATGGCACCATAGAAGAAGACACTTTTGTTACTTTAGCTAGGCTTTGTGAATTCAAGAGAGCATCGAATGAGGCGTGTGAAGTATTTTCTTGCATACACAACTGTATGACCCAGTTGAGCTTGAGGCTTGGAAATGCCTTGCTGAGTATGTTTGTCAGGTTGGGGAATTTGGGTGATGCTTGGTATGTTTTTGGGAAAATGGAGGAAAGGGATGTGTTCTCTTGGAATGTTTTGATTGGTGGGTATGCGAAAAATGGGTATTTTGATGAGGCTTTGGATTTGTATCAACGGATGTTGTGGGTTGGAATTAGGCCTGATGTCTATACTTTTCCTTGTGTCTTGAGGACTTGTGGGGGTTTGCCTGATTGGAGAATGGGTAGGGAGATACATGCTCATGTAATACGTTTTAGCTATGATTCGGAAATCGATGTCGTTAATGCATTGATTACAATGTATGTTAAGTGTGGTGATGTTTGCAGTGCAAGAGTGCTGTTTGATGGAATGTCTAAGAGAGATAGAATTTCTTGGAATGCTATGATTTCGGGTTACTTTGAGAATGGTGAGTTTTTGGAGGGGTTAGTCTTGTTCTCCTCAATGCGGGAATTTGGTTTTTTTCCGGATTTGATGACTATGACAAGTGTGATTTCAGCTTGTGAGGCTCTTGGGGATGACAGGTTAGGGAGAGCACTTCACGGGTATGTGGCAAGAATGGAATTTTATAGTGATGTTTCGGCTCATAACTCTCTCATCCAACTTTATTCAGCTATTGGGAGCTGGGAGGAAGCAGAAAAGATCTTTGATAGGATACAATGTAAAGATGTAGTTTCATGGACTGCAATGATTTCGGGTTATGAGAGTAATGGGTTTCCTGAGAAGGCCGTTAAAACGTACAAAATGATGGAGCTAGAAGGTGTCATGCCGGATGAAATTACTATTGCTTCTGTTCTATCTGCCTGTACGTCATTAGGCCTTCTAGAAATGGGTGTTAAGCTTCAACATGTAGCCGAAAGAAGAGGACTTATAGCATACGTGATTGTCTCAAACACTCTGATCGACTTGTTTTCAAAGTGCAACTGTATTGACAAGGCATTGGAAATTTTTCACAGGATACCGGATAAAAACGTCATATCTTGGACTTCTATCATTCTTGGTCTTAGGATAAATAATCGCAGTTTGGAAGCTTTAAATTTTTTTAGAGAAATGAAACGCCATCAGGATCCCAATTCTGTTACCTTAATGTCTGTCCTCTCTGCATGTTCTAGAATCGGTGCACTGATGTGTGGTAAAGAAATACATGCATATGTATTGAGAAATGGAATGGAATTTCATGGTTTTTTACCCAATGCACTCCTTGATTTCTACGTGAGGTGTGGAAGGAGGGCCCCAGCACTGAATCTGTTTCATATGCAGAAAGAGGATGTTACTGCTTGGAATATCTTGCTGACTGGCTATGCTCAGCGAGGGCTAGGTGCACTTGCAATCGAGCTTTTTGATGGAATGATAAGTTCAAGAGTAAAGCCAGACGAAATTACTTTCATTTCTCTGTTACGTGCTTGTAGTAGATCTGGGTTGGTGACTGAAGGCCTTGATTATTTGAATAGCATGGAGAGTAAATACTGTATTGTTCCCAATCTGAAGCATTATGCTTGTGTGGTTGATCTGCTAGGCCGTGCAGGTTTAGTGGAAGATGCTTATGATTTTATTCTATCATTGCCTGTGAAACCCGATTCCGCTATCTGGGGGGCTTTATTAAATGCGTGTAGGATCCACAGGCAGATTGAACTTGGAGAACTAGCAGCTAGACACATCCTTGAAACAGATGAGAGAGGTGTGGGATATTATGTACTCCTCTGCAACTTCTATTCTGACAATGGTAGATGGGATGAAGTTGTAAGATTAAGGAAGATTATGATAGAAAAAGGACTGACTATTGATCCTGGTTGCAGCTGGATAGAAGTAAAGGGAAATGTGCATGCATTTCTTAGTGGTGATAACTTACATCCCCAAAGCAAGGAGATTAATGCAGTTCTAGAAGGATTTTATGAAAAAATGGAGGCAGCACGTCGTAGTAAATCAGAGAGACATACAGTAAATGAAGTTAAAGACTCAAAAGCCGAGATCTTTTGTGGACACAGTGAGAGACTAGCTATTGGATTTGGTCTTATAAATACAGCTCCAGGGACGCCTATTTGGGTTACAAAGAATCTTTATATGTGCAAGAGCTGTCACGACACAATCAAGTTTATCTCTGAGGTTGTTCGGAGGGAGATTGCAGTTAGAGATACTGAGCAATTCCATCATTTTAAGGATGGAAGATGCACATGTGGGGATGAAAATTATTTGGGAGAAACTTGAAATTCATAACCAGAAGGAATCGAATCATAAGTGGCAAAATAGAATCTGTTCATTGTGATGGGCAAAGCCAGGTGTTTATATTCAGGATGTAAGCTGACGAGCTCCTGGATAGAGTACCCAACACACCTCTAGGTTGCTATCCCAGATGAAATCTCATCCACAGCGTGGCATTGCACCGTCTGTTTCTTCTGCAGACAACATCAACTGCCCTTCAGCAGGAATGTTTGTTTCCCCTGTGGTAATGCTCTCGAAAGCTAGAATATTGTGAAATTTTACAATGTCGAAGACAATTTTGTGATACTCAACATAGAGGTGCCTGATTTACTGTATATAGCACATACCTTTCTCCCATACTTGAAGATAGGGGCTAGTTCTTGGTTACTTTAGCAAAGTGGTTTTAGAAACTTGTATATCTTGGTGGTGGTATGATTTTGGTGCTCATAGAGCTGGGAGGCTTGGCTAGATTATAGTATATGTTCTTGCTTGTAGAACTGCATGAACCTGAAGGGTCATGAAAACAAACATTGGTTTCTCATAAACCTGTACCAAATCTTTCTTCAAATATAATGTCCGACGGAGAAGGATGCTTTGTATTGTCTGCTGAAAAAAAGTTAATGAAGTTGAGAAAAGGTAAGTTCACACTACATAATGGATGTGCATAAAGACATGATTTGACTATTGGTTAGCTCTGTGGTATCTGATCTCAATGGATCAACAATAGCATTGAGGTCATGTAATTTTTTGTTGTTAATGTTTCACTGACCAGCAAACCTATATTCTTTTTAAAATTGTCGACACAAAGAGTTGTGCGAGAAATTTTTCCTCTTATTTTTCTTCACAATCTGATTTTGCCTTGGAAAAAGCATAACCGGACATGTCATCTTCCATACTCCCAAGGGAATTCAATATGACTACTTTATTAGAAATCTTTATGCCAAACAACAAGCTGTTATTACAAATCCTTCAAAAGAATAATAGAGTACACTATTTGTATAAAGAAATCAAGCACAAAGCACCATTCACACACGAAAATTTAGTTCTATATCCAAACCTACATCTTCACTGCTTTCTTGATTGTTTTGATGGATGATTTTATGAAGCCCATATTACCTCCTACCAGACTTTCATCGCTATCATCACCAACGACTGATGGCTTCTTCCTCATGCAATCCACTCTCTTTTTCATGCCACTCAAGAGGAGAGATGGTGAGGATGGGATACGCCTAAACAACCTAACACTGTCAGACCTCAATAGTTCTCTTTCCTTATCCTTTTCGCTCTTCCTTGCAGTTCTTTCGCAGCTGCTAGATCTCCCTACTCCCTTAGAAGCAGAACCTACATCACTGGCCCTCCTTTCTGGAATTAAACTGTAGGGAGGAGGATTTCTGCATAGTAAATTTTGACCCTTAAGTTCAGTTCTTACTTCCTTTTTCCCATTACCTCTGTTTGAGAATGATTTCCTGGCTGCCATTTGAACAACTTCCTCTCTTTTTGTTTCTTCTTCCTGATGGACATCTTCTTTTTCATTTTGCACCTTCTGTGGCAGTTTCACATCCCCAGGTATTTCTGCATCCTCAGATTCAGATATCTTCATCTCCTTTTGTGGGTACTTGATATTCAGTTTTGTTATCGTGCCATCAATCTCATTAGTTTCATCTTTTTCTGCATTTAGAGTTCTCTTACCACTATCGTTCTCCTCAGCAGTCTTAATACCAAAGTCAGTTGGTTCTTCAGAGTTATCCAAAAGCAACTGAAGCCATTTTTCAACATTTCCTTTCCCACGCTGCTGTCTGCTCTCTTCGTCCTCCTCCTGTCTTTCAGTTTCATGAAAAGTGGGAAATCCACGGTTGCATGTTATCTCATCTTCTTCTTCTTCTTGTATCTCATTGTTTTGAACCTTCTGATCTGTTGGATCCTCATCCTTCACCTGCAGATTAGTGTTGTTACTGCGATCAGAGGGGATTCCTATGCTGATTCTGTGAGTTTCCCTCTCTTGTCCTCCATTTAGAGATAGTCTAGCCTCGTATGCTTTCTGCTCTTCCTCCAAAAATACTCTCAACTCCTTATGCATAATGTCCTTGGGATTCATCTCGGACAAGCATAGAACTCTCATATCATCTTTCTCAAATTCTGCCTTTGAGCAGCTGCCAGGTAGAAGAAGATGAGTCTTCTCATCTCTCTCTCCACCCGGAAATTCATCCATTCTCGATCTTTTTCTTGTTTGGTCCCACTCAGGTCTTATCTGTTGCTCGAGTTCATCTCTCTGTTTGAATCTCCTGTGTAGGTCTCTCTCTGCAGAATCACAAATTGCTCTTTGAGCTTCAAGTCTTGCCATAAGGGCATTAGCTGCTGCCTGATTCAACCTCACTTGTTCTTTATACACAATACTCCTGCAAATCACATAAACCAAAAAAGTAAGAGACTAAGAGCATATAACCACACAAGCTAAATGGATTTCTATTTTTCTAATCGACATGTTTCTCCAGAGATCTTACTGGTGCATGGCATCTCGAATCATCTTCTCAAGCATAGATTTATAAGAAGATTGTGCCTCAGCTAATCGTCGACACTTCTCAGCTCTCCTTCTTTTCTTTGTTAGGATTAGCTCCAAATCTTGTACAGCTGCTTTCTCCTCCTCAGTCTTCTGCTTCAATTCACCTACTTCATCATCCAATTTCTGTATTTCTGCCTGCATCTTTGCTGTCTCATCTCTGTGTCTTAAAGAATCTCTAGCTATCACAATAGCCTGGTATGGATTGGTTTCCATGGTTGGATCTTCATTTTCTTTCAGATCCATTTTTGATCTCTTACAAGCTGTCACAACAGAAAAACCAAAAACACAAAGCTCATTAAAACAAAAAAAAACAAAGAAACAATGACTAGTTTAACACGATTTTTTGGAAACTAACCAACAATAGGAGTGTTTGATCTTGGTCTCCTATTTATATCCAATGATTTCAGAGCTGAGGAAGAATCAAAAGACTCCCTTCGAGATAAAACAACAGCTGCTGGAGCAAGGCCAATCTTTTCTCTCGACTCAACAAAATGTTGAGGAAAAACATGTGAATCAACAGTTTGTGAGGCATTCAATTCTTCACTTTCACCTTCAGAAAACAACCAGGAAAATGCTCTACGCCTGAAAATAATGACACAATGAGGATCTAGTAGTTGCAAAATCTCACTTTGAAACTGGAAATGCACTCAACAAATATACACAGCATCCAACCTGAAATCTGCATTTGATATAGCAAAGATGGACAAGAACTGGTTTATCGATATACCAACTTGTAGATCCCACCAGGGTATAAGGAATTCTAGCTTGTTATTCTTTTTCTTACAGGCTTGCCACTGCATTATCCGCAGATTGCTTGGAACAGTCAGTCCTCCTCCTGCAATTTCATTGAATGTCACATATACAGAACTCATTAAACGCAGAAAATGATCGTTGATAACGTAACTTTTTGTCAATGTACGTAAGTTAAAGTCTATGCAGTAAAACACAAGGATGATGAGTAATTACTGGAGCAAGGAAACCAGTGATCAATTTCCCATGCCAAAGGTGAAGCTGAATCAGCATGATAATACAGAACATTGCCATACGAGTCTATTCGAAATACTTCAGGATCAAATCCTGCATTCCTGGAGTTCAAATCATAATCAAGAATGAGAAAAAGACTTCTTTTCCTTAGTTATTCAGTTTGGATAAACAGAATAGCATCACAATTGATTCTTACCCCAGGTGGCTAAGTTGCTTCCACAACAGAGACATAAACATCTTGGTCTTTGTGTTTGGTTGTGCATTCTGCTCAATGATGGGAAACATTTCGTCCAATTCCTTGGCTCTCAAAACCTATTACCAATCAAAATTCTGCTAAGATTGATTTGTTCTAAATGAAACTTTATTGTTGTCCAAGATCAGTTAAGTGATTTGAAATTGAAAATCAAGGTATCAAATTCACAAGGTTTGATGGAAAAAACCAGTATTTCCCTCACTGAAATATAACTCTTAATCAAATTCTAAATCCATAATTTCAAAATTACAACTAGTTCAGTGCTAAGAACCTTAAAAACTGAACCCATCGAAATTAAATCTTACATCCGCCACTTCCGCTAGTAGCAACTAAATTAACAAATAGAAGCAAGAAAAGCAAATCCACCATAAATCCAACAAAAAATTGGGGAAGGGGGTGCTCAGATTGTGTTAAAAATCCAAGAGGACAGATTAATCCATTCTTTATGGTGAACCAGAGCAAGCAAGATAAAGCAAATCCATACATAGATTTAATCAAATTCCACATCGAATAATAATTAATCTTGAATAAAAAGATTGAGTCTTTATGTTACCTCATGTTGTGGCAGAGCATATGGAGTGAAAGTGAAAGGAGGGCCACGGCTGAAGGGGCCAAAGCTTCGATCTTTACAGATCTTGGCATAGGCCTTTGGGTATCCAAGACCTTGATCAATCACCATTTCTTCAGGGGTAAAAACAAGATCGCCAGCCATTGGATTGAGGGGAACCTCTGTTTCTTTTGCAGAAGAAATTGAAGAATGAAAAAATCGGAACTGAAGAGAAAAACAGAGCAAAGGTGATTTTGATGAAACAAAAGGAGAGACCAACGGTCATGTCATTTTTAAAAAGGTAGAGATTTGTAACGGCTACATATGTTGGCCTACATTAACAGCTCTCCCATATAAGTTCAGATGTTTGTCATTAAAGTCTTGACTATATTTAGAAGGACTATATTACCCTTATGAAGTACAGATATGAGCTGAGCTGGATGGATATTTGTAATCTACACAAGGGTAATTTGGTCAAACAAAGGGAACGTTGTAGAGAACAGGTCATCATTTAAGTTTGAACAAGAGTGAAACAAATATTATATTATTACTCCTAGTAAAAGGTCAAAGTGAAAAGTTCCTTTTTAGTACGACAAATCGAGTACACATATGAGGAGGCTCTTGCTAAATTCGATGTCGTACCCACATTGCAGGAGGGGGAATTCCTTAATTTTATGAATGTTCTTGATATTTTTATTTGAATTCGATAAAAATTTTCAGAAAATAGTCAATTTTACTTTAAAAATTTATATGTGAAATGCCAATATAATGGAATGAAGTTTATTTTTTTTATGATTTTTCTATAATTTGAACAACATATTGTATACTTGCGGGATTTTTAGAACTTTAGCAGATTATGCTAGCTAAAGTTGAATTAGACAAAAAAAAATGGAAAAATTATATATAATAGCAAATTAATAACCTAAAAAAATGGAATAGCTAGGGTTTGATTTAATTGTGCTCCATAGCAAACGTTAGCTAAAATTTGACAGCGTCTCTCTCCCAGAAATCTCGCTCGCCACTCTCCATTCTCGCTCGCCTCTCTGCTTTATACACATAAGTGTATAATTTTGTTTCTGTTTTGTATAAAGCGAGAGAAAATTGTATATACACATGCAAAAATATATATCTTCGTGTTATACACTTAATTATAAAACTTACAAACATTTTTACTTCAAATATTGCAGAGAAAAAGGCCAACAAATTATACAATTGCAGTGAAATACAATTTTCTCTAGCTTTATACAACAAAAGTGTATATATTATGTTTCTGTTTTTGTATAAAGCGAGAGAAAAACATATATCTTCTTGCTATACACTTATAATTATGCAATATACAT